GAGGGCTCGGCCAATCTTAATCTTCCTGTCAGGGCGGTCCTCGGACAGGGGAACTTCTTCTATCTCTTCGGAAGGCTCGGGCTGCTCCTTCCGTTCCTTAGCCTCCTCTTTGGCTATGGTGTTCACTCGGGAAGATGGACCGGAATCACGTCGATTAACCGCTCGGGTGTAACACTTCCGGGCGGATTGGACATCGCCACGGACCACGCCGACCCCGTTAGGGGTGGGGAATTTCATGCACAGGTGGGGCATAGAAATTATCCCACCGATCTTCATAATGGCGGGTCGGCCCAAGATAATGTTGTGGACGCAATGGAGGTTGACCACAACAAATTCCAGCTCCGTTTGGATCGACTTTGGAGGCGTGCCGATCTCAACCGGGAGCGTTATTTTTCCCTCGGGGTAGATAAGAGCCCCGGTAAATCCTGACAGTGGTACACCGACCGGAGTCAGCTCCTTTCTGTCGAGGCCAAGCTTCTCAAACACGTCCAAGTATAGGACGTTCACACTGCTGCCCGTGTCAACCATAACCCTTTGGACGTCCGTCCCCTTAACGTCGATCGTGACCACGAGCGCCTCCATGCCGTGGTCGCTGCTGCTAGGTTGGTCCTCAAGGGTGAAGGTTATGGGTTCCATCTTCTGCCTCTTCCCAGTTCCCCGGGAATCCACTATTGCGACCGGGCAATTGGTCCGCGGTCGGGAAGCATCTTCCAGCCCACCAAAAATGACGTGAATGGTAGGCTTTCCGGACGGGCGGCTACCGGACGGAGGGTCGGGGTCCCGTCGGTCATCATGACGATCATCCCTTCTTTCCTGCCCAGATCGATCGGAGCGGGGGTGAGAACGTCTATGATCCCTCCAATCGGTGCTCCTTTTGTTTTCCTCTCTCTTCCCCACACACTTGTCCAATTTTCCCCTGTTCAGCAGATCTTCCAACAATTGGCGCAAGTGGGTACATTCCTCCGTGTCATGCCCAGCACATCGATGGTAAGCACAATGCTTACTCTTGTCAGGGCCGTCTCGATCGGGATGGGGAAGTTTGATGAGATTGCAGGACTGGGCATATTGCATGGCCTCCACTGCGGATCGGTTCAAGGCCGTAAACTCGCCATGCCTGGTGCGGGGTCGGGGATTGTCATCTCCCGATCGATGTTCTGCCCGGCTGGCCGGTTTACGGGACGAAGAGCCGACCTCCTGCGAGCGCTTGACGGCATTCGCCTCACCTGCGTTGGCATAATCAGTGACCCTTCGGAGGGCCTCCTCATAGGTGGTCGGGGGGTGGAGGATAAAATCCTGGTACAGATACCCCGCCCGGAGGGAGATGTGAAACATGTGAGTGGCGGTCGCATCATCCATGGGCTCGACCTCCCCGACCGCTGCCTTCCACTTGATGAGGAAGTCGGTCAAGCTTTCCCCTTCGAGCTGCTTGGCCTTTTCGAGGTACATATAGGACTTCCTCACCACTTTGGAAGTAATGAACTTCCGTACAAACTTGATCGCCAGGGTCTCAAATTTGTCGATTGACCCCGGCTGCAGGGTTCGGAACCATTCTGCCGCCCGTCCGGTGAGGGTTGAGTAGAAGGCCCTGCACATCACGGCGTCTGAAACGCCCTTCAGCATCATATTGCTGAAAAAATCATTCACGTGAGCCTCAGGATCTGTCCGACCGTCGTAACTCTTCTCTCCCGAGACCTTTAAGTCGAGCGGGTAAGGCTGAGCCATTACCGCTGCTGTGAAAGGCGTCTGGTGTAGGGTCGATCGGTCGGCCGGGGGTGCTGTAGGATACGCACTCCTGAGCTGCGCAACTTCAGCCTGGAGGTTGTAGAGCAATCCTCGGGTTTCGTTGAGCTCGGCGGCTTGAGCGGCTTGGGCTGTATCCCGAGCGCGTCGCCGTCGGTGAGATCTCGACCCGCTATACCCGGATGAAGCCTCGTGGCTAGCTTCCTGCATTTGTACGTCCTCTTGCCCGCGATTCGGGTCTTGGGGTCCCAAACGCTGGCGCATCTCTGGTCGGAGACGATCAAAAGCTACCGCTCGGGCAACTTCTTCAGGGTCCTCCGCTTGAACGGCCTGAGCTGGTGCCTCCATCGCATCAGCACCCCCCGACCCCAACCGCGAATGAGCCGAGTGTCGAGCCCGGGATGTGGACTGACGCTGCGGCTCGACTTGTGCGGTCGGTTGTACTGGAGGGGCGGCGGCTGGAGCTGTATAAGCAGGCGTATATGGTGGATAACCAACCGGGGAAGTGTAGCACATCGGTTGTCCTGGCCAATACCCATATGGTGGAGGTGGGACCAGGTACGGATACTGGGCGGGATACATCATGGGCTGCTGCTGGTATGGCAGACCGGGTGTTGGGTATCCTGGTTGTATGTAATTCACCGGCTGCTGGGCGCCGGGTATGTATTTGACGGATGCGGTGGTGAGAGGTTGAGGTTGAGGTCCATCGTCTGACCCTGCTGTTGGGTAGCATAGTGGTCGGAGGAGCTTGCCGCATCCGCCTGGTCGTCGGCAAAGTTGTTGTGTGCCCACGGATACATGTCGATATAGAGACCGGGTGCTCGTCAAGACGTTGGTTTCTCGTACGAGTCCCCACAGACAGCGCCAAAATGATACTGCTAATTATATGTAAGCAATATAAAATAACACGAGACCAATTAAAGCAAGTAAAATCTTTATTGATCACGGTAAAGGCCCTAAGTACAATCTACTTGGTTGCTCTGAGTACCGACTGAGTGCGGTCGGGATTCTCTAACAACAACCTATCGATCGTCCAAAAAAGTCCTCTACACTGTAGCTACTGTGGGCATTTATAGCCGCTGTGCCGGGGACAAGATTCCGGCTGCTCGGCATGTCTTCCACGTAGCCACCACGTGTCATCCTCCCGGGTGCCCTGTCTGTCGCCATGAAGAGCCGCCACGCGTCCTTTCGCGTCCTTTGTGCCAGCTCTTTCGTCGAAGGGCTACCGCTCGGTGGTCGACACCAGCGTTCGGGCAACTTCCGGCCGTTCCCGACCGGGATCTCTATGACAAAAGCCCGACCTGCTACCTGCAAGGATCAAAAGAGAAAGACAAAGGCAAGTCGGTCGTGGCGGAGCTTATGTCGGTCGGGATATTCCCTACCAATATACATACAACTACTATATATGGGGTGTGGTGGGGGGAGGGGGGCAGCTGTCCCCCTTTGTCTCCGTCCATGATTGTAGTACGAATAAGAAAGTAGGAAACAATATATTCTATTAGCAATTGTATTATACTATTTTACAATATTAGGCAAATTTTAATAATATAGGACTGTTTTGGGCGGGAAGTTAAAATGGAGAATTTTGTTAAAATGAAGGATTTATTTTTTTTTTTATATATAGTATAGATAGATAGATTTTTATCAATTTATGATTGAATTGACAAATTGTATATGCTAATTAATATGTAAAAAAAAGTACGGAGTAACCTACACGCAATAAGTGGAACCAAATTTGATTTACAATCACTACTACAGAATGGAGCAAAGAAATTCAACTTTAAGCTACCCTTCTTTAAACAAGGGTAGTGTATTATTTTTTTTAAAAAAAAGGGACAATGGCATAATTGTAATTAAATGAATAAGAAACCGCTACCCTTTCTAAAAGAAGGGTAGCAGTTTTTTTTAAAAAAAAGAAGACGGAAAGAGTTTCCGCTGCTCTTTCGCGTAGCAAAGGGCAGCGGAAAAGATATTATTAAAAAAAAAAACAGATAGAAATTAAATTAAAAAAAAAAACCTAACCCTCACCTCAGGGTTACGTTCTCCATCCTCACCGCTCACATCTCACAACCGTACCCTCACCTCACGGCCGGCCCCTCACCTCACGGCCGGCATCTCCATAGGACACGGCGATCACCTCAGCGCATCTCCGGCCTCGACTCCCGGCGAGGACACGGCGACGCCTCACCTCACAATCGACTCCCTCAGCCGTCGCTACAGTACGTGCGTTCTCCTCACCGCCACCGTCTCATCATCGATTCACCGCCCCACGCCCTCATCCGCTGTCTCCACCGCCACAGTGTCGCCGCCGCTGCTTCGATCCACCGCTCCAGCCGCTGCTTCGATCCGCCGCCGCTGCTTCGATCCACCGCTCCAGCCGCTGCTTCGTCCATCAGGTAAGGTTTTTTTTTTTTTGGTTAATTTGTTTTTTGTTGTTATTTTTTTTTTATATAATTACAGTAGAATTATTCGGCTAAAACCCTTAACACATCCAGCAGCAATGGCATTTACAGAATATCATAGCAACTCTTCTCTTGGTAGTAGACACATTAGTACTGAACATAAACAAATTAAAAAGGCTACAGAAGAGTGAGTAGATGAGTGACCTTAGCTAGAGCAAGCTTTGCCTATTTCAAAAATAGTATCTTGGCGGGGCGACCTCCAGGTCTGCAGCCATTGCGGTATGGCTTCTCCATTACCAAATCTGAGCCTAATTTCTGTTGGCAAGTGATTTACCTAAAGAGTTAATTCCATTTTGGTCCCTTGACTATTAGATTGTAGCCACAATATGCTCATATGGTAAAGGTTATTAATCATAATTCGTTTCTGACCCCTGTTACCATGGGAGCAGCAGTTTCTTCTGTTCACTACAATCTTAAGCTCAGGCATCCTAACCTTGACATGCGCATTATTGACTATGATTTGGCAGTGCTTATCCAGCCAATGCTAATGCTTGGCATTAGTATTGGGGTTACTTTCAATGTGATCTTTGCTGACTGGATGGTCACAGTGCTGCTACTTATTCTCTTCATAGGTAAAAGTATTTATTGCATTCTCTGTTTATTATGAAATCTGCTCCAATAGAAAGCATTTTTCGCGCCGTAGGCCGACGAACGGGCAAATTGAGACGTGGAAGAAAGAAACTATTTTGAAAATGGTTAACATGGATCCATTACTTAACATATATTTTGACTAATCGAGTTATTGTTAAAAATCGATAAATGGATAAATAGAACCCGTATAGTGGACTCCAGCTAGATTGGGTCTAAGATTAAGTTAAGTGACTTCTGGCTTTATTTACAAGGATTTCACATTCTTGATTCTACCGCTTCATATTATGCTGCTATGCTTAGGTGGTAAAATCTATGTTGCATTAGGGTGTATTCAGTATGTTCAATAAAATTGGTCTTCATTGCTTGCTTTTATTACATTCTGTTTTCTGATTATCCCTTTTTCTTTGGATTCAGGAGGTTTCCCAACGCTTAGCAGCAAATGGTACTTTACCTAGCTTTATGTATCATTTTCAGTGCAACTCATTTTTCCCTCAAGATCAAACATTTCTGTGCCTGTACAGACACATAAAAGCAAAGAAATAAAAATCGATTATAACGTGTTCAAGTTGTAATCTGTCAGGGAGTGGTGTTCAAGGAGATTACAAGCTTCTTCCTAGTGGCCCCAGCAATGCAACTCAAAATGACACCAAGGCTTCTGAAAATAAGGTGTTTTATCTGCAATGTTATAATCCTGCCTCATTTGTTTTTTTTTTTCAACTCTAATATATTTTGCCATTGTAGGAGGTCTCTATAATAGAAAATGTTTGTTGGACCGAATTTGGACTTCTTTGCTTTGTTTGGGTTGCATTTCTCACTCTGCAGATCATCAAGGTTTTTATTTCTCTCATCATTTAAGTTGCCTTTCGGTATTGTGGTTCCTGTAGCCTATAGATACTAGTTTTTCTGCATCAATGTTATCCTATGAACTCACTGAACTTGTGTTTCGTAACAGAATTATACAGCAACAGGTTTTTCTGCTCAATAGGTTTGTTCGCTTTGTGAGCACTCCGGAGATCTTGGAACGGTTGCACACTATAGAATCTGAGATTATACAGATTGAAGAAGCAATCACCATACAGGGTCAGTTTCATTAATCCCTTTCTTTATTTGTCTTGAGTTATTCCTCAATGCTGTTTGTGTGGTTTGCCACAAGCATACTATTTCTAAATTGGATCTCTATGTTATTCTTTATCCAGTTTTTATGCTCATCTGCCCCCTATATTTTTTAATTTCTTGAGTTGCACAGTGTGCATCTTTCATCATTAAGTAATCAATGTACTGTTTGACACCCAAAAACTTTTGACAGGTAACAAATCAACAGCAGGTGTTAATGAGAAGAAAGCCATTGGCTTTAACAAATCAACTCTCAGATGCATCCTTCTTAAATCAACTCAAGTGGACGTGGTGTACGCCAATTTAAAACTGCACTTCTGCATCGGCTTGAAAGGGTAAGTACCATAATGTGTAGTTCTTTTTTGCAGAAATGCTATTCTATGCTTCCTACTGTTTCCTCTAAGGTCGGTGCTTGTTTCTATTTCAACATATTGAGCATAATGTGTTTTAATTTATTCATTTTTACTAAAATCTGGTACTCTGTATAAATACCCTGTATACACTTTGCATTAGTTTTTTATAAATCAAAATCTAGGGGTCTGAATATGATGATATGATGAATCACATATATATAGAAGAGTTTAGAGAAGATGACTTTATATTTGCATGCCAAATGAAATGAAATGGTGTTGCTACCTTGTACTGATCGATAATTATTTAAGGTGGCAAATGAATTGAACTGGTTCCCCATCACTCATCAACTGATCTTTAATTCAAAATGTAGATTATATTTCTTGTTTGGTGCCTTTCTCCCCTTGTTACTCAACACTAAATTCTATCACAATTGCATTGTTTCTCATTTGCAGGCCAGTAATTAAGGATCAACTTCCTCAATCAGACATAATCAGGCCAATAAGGATCATATTTAGTAATTTGATTAATTAAATTATTTTGTAGTCATTTGAAGGAAATTCGTACTCTACCAATGAAATAGATGGGATTTGAGACTTATGAGCAAAATATTTTTTGGAAGAGTATGTGTAATTTTTGTTTTAGATTATATGTTATATTGGATTGATATAAAGTATTGTATTGATAGTATTTGGTTGAGTGTTGATAATATTGTTTTTGATAGTTTGCTGATAATAGTGTTGATGGTTAGTATTATCTTGATATGTAGTGTATGAAAATAGGATTTTTATAAAAATTGGGGCATTTAAAAATAAAAAATAATAATGAATTAAAAAAAAAACAATCCGCTACCCTTCTTTTGTAAAAAGCGCAGCGAATGCTTAAATAAAATAATAATAAAATAAGAAAATTCGCTACCCTTCTATATATAGAAGGGTAGCGGATATTCAACTTTCCGCTACCCTTGTGAAAGGGTAGCAGAAAACTCAAGGCTTTCAGCGTCCCTCAAATCCGCTACCCTTGTACAAATGTAGCGGATAACCCTTTACAAGGGTAGCGGATTTGCATATCTGTACTATTGAATATTCGTTGGATAATAAATTCAATCTAACTTTACTATAGTGTAATTTATTATAGTGTAATTTATTAAGGAAAATGGTAACAAGATTTTTTTTCTACATATTAAAACATTCAAATTAAAAAGGTTTTTTTTTTTTTTTTTTACATATTAAAACATTCAAATTTTAATTTGTATCAAGCTCGATCGACACTCATTTTTTTCATGCCACAAGAAGATGATGATTTTAAGATACATCTTTTTTCCTAAAGATTGAATCCCCAACTCCAAAGACCTCTCACACTTTGATCCAATAGAGTATAACTCAAGGGATCTTCTCACTTTAAGTATAATTTCACGTTGTCGCTATCAAGTTTTGAACCATAGACTCTTATATTCAAAATACTGTCTACTGAATCAATGAACTAATATGCTCGTACGGGCGATTCTAACTAACAGACACCATTAATTTCCAAACAGTTGAATGTAGTTAAGTTGATCATCAAAACTTAAGGGCCGGCCGGCGAGATTCATTCCCATGTTACCAGGACAGGCTATCCCCATCACCAATCTCTTTCAACCGTCGGTTGATTAAATGGCATTGAAACCTCCCCATCCAATCCGTTGGAATAACGTATTCTGACATTAATTTGCTTGTGACCAATTATATATCTCCTTCCATGTTTGGTTGTCCACCTCGGATATCCGTTTCCAGAACAGCATGCATGCAACAAGGTTACAATTTCGATCTGGTCCCTCTCGTAGCTCAGTGTCGGAACCTTAAAACCCCAAATCTTTAATTTACATTGGGTTTTAGCGGTAATCCAACGTTGTTTTGATCGACACTGTATGTTTTGCAATCCATCTCTACTAGCTAGAGTTAAAGATAGATTAATACAAATTCTTATCGACAAATTCACCGCACAACATGATCTTCTTAGTGAAGTTAATTTTGTTAGGATCGATACGGTTCACAACACCAAAATACCAGCGGCAATTCGGACCGGGAATAATGAGAATATTTCTAGTGTAAGATTTAAAATAAATCATACACAAAATAAAGGCAATTTGAAGAAGGATTTTCTGTATTGGCAAAAGGATATTACAAATAGGAATTACAAATATAACTCTCTATTCTACTCTCTATATTTTGCTATGCTAATGGGAGAATTCCTGATGGAATGGGATGAGATTGGATGAAGAGGAGTTGCCTATTTATAGCAAACCATCTCCTGCAACTTCATCTTGCTCTTTCTCCTGCTCTTCCGAAATGAGCATCTTGCTCTTTCTCTTGCTCTTCCGAAATGAGCATCTTGCTCTTCAGAGATGAGCATCGTGCTCTTAAGAGATGAGCACCGTGCTCTTAAGAGATGAACATCTTGCTCTTCAGACCAAGTGTTTGCTCCTGCTCCTAACCTCATCAGAAAAAGGTTCTGCCCATTTCCACATTTGACTTTAGTATTTACAAATCTCCCACTTAAAGTCACAATGTGGACCTTCATCCTTTCTGCCAATTCCGTGCTGCTTGCATACTTGTTAGGCCAATTGAGGATCTACACCATACGAATTTATCGTTGGTAACCGGCTTTGTTAACATATCTGCCATGTTATCTTTAGTATGGATTTTCTGTATATCCACACTCCCTTCTTCCACCTTTTCACGAACAAAGTGAAATTGGACCCGTATATGTTTCGTCTTGGAATGAAATGCTGGATTCTTTGTCAAGTACAAAGCGCTCTGACTGTCACAAAATAGAGTCATTTTCTCTAATTTGTGCCCGAGCTCCTCCAATAGCATTTGCAACCATATAGCCTCTTTACTAGCTTGAGTAGCAGCTATATATTCTGCTTCCGTCGTCGATGTTGCCACAACAGACTGCAACTTCGAGACCTAGCTTACTGCTCCGCCAGCAAGAGTAAACACATAACCCGTGGTGGATTTGCTACAATCAAGATTACCTGCATAATCTGAATCAACATAGCCTCTAATGATGAAGTCTGATCCTCCATAACACAATGCAATATCTGAGGTACCCTTGATATATCTAAGGATCCTCTTCACAGCACTCCAATGCTCTCTATTAGGATTTGCCATGTATCGACTGACCGCTCCCACTGCTTGTGCAATGTTTGGTCTAGTGCAGATCATAGCAAACATTAAACTGCTCACTGCTGATGCATACGTTACTCGAGACATCTCCATCCTCTCTGCTTCGTTGCTAGGACTCATACTTGAGGATAACTTGAAATTAATAGAAAGAGGGGTAGAAATTGGCTTACAATCTTGCATGTTGAAGCGCCGCAAGATTTTCTGCAGATAATTCTGCTGAGAAAGCCAAATCTTCCTATTATTTCTGTCTCGGTGAATTTGCATCCCTAGAATCTTGTTTGCTGGTCCTAAGTCCTTCATTTCAAATTCCCTAGCCAGTTGAGCCTTCATCTCCGTGATACGATCATTGTTGGGGCCTACTACCAACATGTCGTCAACATACAATAGCAAGATGATAAACTGATTATCATCAAATCTCTTGCAATATGCGCAAGGATCAGAATTAAACCTGTTGTATCCAAGGCTCAGAATGAATGAATCAAATCTCTTATACCAACATCTCGGCGCCTGTTTGAGACCTTATAGAGATTTGGTCAACCTGCAAACCAAGTTCCCTTCTTCTTCAAAACCTTCTGGTTGGAGCATGTAAATCTCTTCTTCAAGTTCTCCATGTAGAAACGCAGTTTTCACATCCAACTGCTCAAGATACAAGTCAAACACAGCACACATCGCTAGGACTGCTCGAATCGTTGTAAGTCGTACAACAGGAGAAAATATCTCGTTGAAATCAACTCCTTCCTTTTGAGCAAATCCTTTCACAACTAATCGAGCACGATACCGTTCCACTTGATTGTTGCTATCGCGTTTGATCTTATAGACCCATTTGTTTCCAATAGCCTTCCTTCCTCGTGGTAACGGGACAAGTTCCCATGTTTTATTCTTATGGAGAGCTTCGATTTCTTCTTGCATTGCTGTCATCCACAGAGATGCATCTGGACCTTTTATAGCCTCATGGTAAGTTAATGGCTCACCATCTTCTGTTAGTAGACAGTATGCAACATTTCCCTCCATAGAATAATCTGAGTGCCAAGCTGGTTCTCTCCTCTCCCGAGTTGATCGTCGAACTTCTGAAGTTGAAGACTCAGCTTGATCTTGTTCATCATGCTCTATTGCTGTTTCAGGGGAAACTGGAATTTCTTCTTCCTTCCTTCCCTCAACTTGTACTGTTGTTGTCACTGGTTTCTCCTTTCCAGTGCTTTCACCTTCTTGTACCTTCCCTTCTACAAACAGAACATCCCTGCTGATGATAACCTTGTGGGCAGTGGGATCCCACAGGCGATACCCCTTCACTCCATCAGCATATCCCAAGAAAACGCATCTTCTTGACTTTGGATCAAGTTTTGATGTTTCTTGAGCGTTGTATACCACATATGCCGGACTCCCAAATGTATGTAAGTGAGAATAACTACTTGGCTTACCCGTCCACATCTCCATTGGTGTTTTCAGATCA